AACTACAAGTACAACTACAAGTACAACTACAAGTACAACTACCACAGCCACAACCACAACCACTACTACTACTACTACTGCTACTACCACTACTACTGCTACTACTGCTTCTACTGCTACTGATGCTACTGATGCTACTACTGCTACTACTGCTTCTACTGCTACTACTGCTACTACTGCTACTACTGCTACTACTGCTACTACTGCTACTACTGCTACTACTGCTACTACTGCTACTACTGCTACTACTGCTACTACTGCTACTACTGCTACTACTGCTACTACTGCTACTACTGCTACTACTGCTGCTACTGCTACTACTGCTACTACTGCTACGGCTGCTACAACTGCAACAGCAACAACAACAACAACTACTACTACTACTACTACTACTACAGCTACTACAGCTACTACAGCTACTACAGCTACTACAGCTACTACAGCTACTACAGCTACTACAGCTACTACAGCTACTACAGCTACTACAGCTACTACAGCTACAAATACAAATAAACTAGCTACGGGACATTACACTACACTAATTACATGATACTACACTACACTAGTTACATCTAATTACACTACACTACACTAGTTACACTGCAGCACGCTACAACTACAAATACAAATGCGATTACAACTACACTACACTGCACAACACTACACAACGCAACACAACACAACACAACACTACACTACACCACACCACACCACACTACACTACACTACACTAAGTACACTGCAGCACACTACAGCTACAAATGCAAACGCAACTACAACTACACTACATTGCACAACACAACGCTACGCTACGCTACGCTACACTACACTACACTACACTACATTGCACAACACAACACAACACTACACTACAACTACAAATGCAAACGCAACTGCAACTACACTCACTACACTACACTGCACTACACTACACTACACTACGCTACGCTACACTACACTACACTACACTAATTACACTACATTACGCTACAGCTGCAACTACAACTACACTACACTACACTAGACTACACTACACTAGACTACACTACACTATACCACACTAGGGTACACAACACTACAGTACACTACACAAACAGTACACTACAATACACTACACTAATTACACCACACCACAACTACAACTACAACTGCAACTCCAAATGCACTACACTTATTGCACATTACAACTACAACTCGACTACACCACGCTACAACTACAACTACAACTACAACTGCACTACACCACACTACATCCAGCAGTTGTGGTAAGGTGACCACTGCAACCATTGCAACCACTCCAAAAAACACAACTCCAACCACCTGTCAGTCCATCAGTGGATTCGCTCTGCCATCCGTGATTCGCAACAGCCAGCCTCTCCTATAGGTTTCCTATTATTGAAACTTCCGCCACCGCCTTGTGCGGTACTACTGGTAGATAAAAGCACATATTTGATATCGGACTATGGGTCCGTCAAGCAAGAATCGTCCAATTCAATTAAAAACCCTGGGGTTTATCGAGAAATCGTCGGCGCCAGCGTCTCAGAGGATGCCGAAGCTCATCCCATCATCGACTTTGGTGCAGTGCTCTTTGGTGAATCCGCCGATCGGGAGACCACAGACACCCAGGGGTGGAGATTGGGGGAAGAAAATGGATCCCACTTGGGAACGGAGTTTTATGATGTTTTATGTCAGCAGTTAGGTGCTCCAATCGCATTTTGACATTCCACCCAGAGAAAAAATGAGCCTGCTGAAAAAGATCGGCGACAAAATCGAGGGCCGACAGTCAACATGACTAGATTAGGATTTTTTGATATTTTTGTTTGACAATGCCAAGGGCGGATGAAACCAGCAACCTCCTTAACTCTTCTGTTCATTTTTTCGGCAATTCGTTCCGGTGATTTCACCTTTTTCCGCCAGAGACAGAGCACTTCACTACCAGACCTGTCCAGACTTTGAATGCGGCCTCTTGAATGGATTACTGTGTCGTTTCACATCTTTGGGATGATTTAAGTTTCGGAATGCAGTCCATTACAACCATGCTGGTTTTGAAGTAAACATATTTCTTTTTTAAAAGGAACGCAACACTATTCGAGGAAAACGCGACATGTTGAATCTCAGGTTTGTTTCTTTCAAAATCATTTGCAGGGAATACTCATGATTTCCAGAGGTATATTTGCTTGAAATAAAGGCTCTCAAAGAAACGACGGGTTCTACTCCAGGAATATTGCAGTTTTGACGTTTTGAAATATATTGAATATTACAGGAATTTTGCCGCTTTAAACCCCACAATTCCCTTTTCGAGGAAACATATGATGGAAACTTGACCAACAACGAGCCGCTAGGTTTTGAGAAAACAACAGCAATATCGGTACGTAAAGGAACAGTCCAACATGTGTTTTTGACCTGTGAAACTTCAACTTTCAGCGCTCAGAATATGCCACTCTCTTCGTTTTCACTGCGGTGGGAAAGAAACAATGCTCTGATTTTGCTGCATGCAAAGTCAACGTGAATTAAGAACACACTTCGTGGTCCATCTTGTGACTTTGTTTCCTTCCGCATACCCTTTCAGAAGTATCTGTTCAAAGGTTGAAACACATTGCATTTGGTGAAGGAAAACCTCAAGATAGATCCAGCAGTTGAAGACCACAAGAAACAAAGTGAAAACATGGTCACAATATCCTTTGAGGCCCCTGAGGAAACATTGGGCTTGAGAACCAAGACCGGTGACATTGTTACGCATTAGGATCTAGCTATATATTCGTTTGTCTCTATGTCTATCATTGTCTATCACTGTCTATCACTGTCTATCATTGTCTATCATGTCTATCATTGTCTATCATTTTTTTTAAAAAATAATTGTCTATCACTGTCTATCATTGTCTATCATTGTCTACCTTTGTCTTTTTTTGAATCATTATCTATCATTGTCTATCACTGTCTATCATTGCCTATCATTGTCTATCACTGTCTATCATTGTCCGTCATGTCTATCATTGTCTATCATTGACTTTTTCTTAATCATTGTCTATCACTGTCTATCATTGTCTATCATGTCTATCGTTGTCTACAACTGTCTATCATTGTCTATCGTTGTCTATCATTGTCTATCATAACTCTCATTGTCTATCATTGTCTATCATTGTCTTTTTTGAAATCTTCGTCTATCATTGGCTATCATTGTCTACATCTGTCTATCATGTCTATCATTGTGTTTCATTGTTTATTTTTATTTTTTGAATTGTCTATCGTTGTCTATCATGTCTATCAATGTCTATCATTACTGTCTATCATTGTCTATCATATGATTTTTCAATCATTGTCTATCATTGTCTACAACTGTCTACCATTGTTTATCATTGTCTATCATTGTCTTTTTTTGTCATTGTCTATCATTGTCTATCATTGTCTGTAACTGTCTATCTTTGCCTATCAATGTCTACCATTGTCTATTTTTTCTAAATCATTGTCTATCATTGTCTACAACTGTCTATCATTGTCTATCATGTCTATCATTGTCTATTTTGTTTTTCATTGTCTATCATTGTCTATCAATGCCTACAACTATGTCTACAACTGTCTATCATTGTCTATCGTTGTCTATCACTGTCTATCATTGTCTATCATAACTCTCATTGTCTATCATTGTCTATCATTGTCTTTTTTGAAATCTTTGTCTATCATTGGCTATCATTGTCTACATCTGTCTATCATTGTCTATCATGTCTATCATTGTCTATCCTTGTCAATTTTCTTCAATCATTGTCTATCATTGTCTATCACTGTCTATCATTGTCTATCACTGTCTATCATTGAGTTTCTATCATTGTCTACAACTGTCTATCATTGTCTATCATTGTCCATCATTTTCTTTCTTTTTTCATCATTGTTTTTCATTGTCTATCATTGTCTGCAACTGTCTATCATTGTCTATCACTATCTACAAGTATCAATCGTTGTCTATCATTGTCTATCATTGTCCATCAGTGTCTATCATTGTCTATCGTTGTCTATCATTGTCTTTCATTTTCTTTCATTGTCTATCATTGTTTATCATTGTCTATCATTGTTTATCATTGTCTATCATTTTCTGTCATTGTCTATCAGTGCCTATCATTGTCTGTTAGTGGCTATCGTAGTTTATCATTCTCTATCATTGTGTATCATTGTCTGTCTATCTATCTATCCATCTATCTATCTATCTATCTATCTATCTTTCTAGCTACCAATCTTATAAATATGGAACTGATGGGGAGAATGATGTTTTTTTCACACCTTCCAACGCGCCCCGGAAGGAGCTGCTGGTGAAGAACACTGGCGTGCTGCCGGCGAACTTTCTCCTGCGGCAAGCGCCGCCTCCGGAGGCGGCAGAGGCAAGCACAAGCGGTCGTGGCAATGATGCCACCATGCTGCCAGAGGACAGGAGCATGTGGCCTGTATATACAAAGAACACAGACACACACACACATATGTATATATATATATGTATATATATATGTATATATATATGTATATATATATATACATATGTATATATATATTTACATCTAATTATATGTAATTATATGTAATTATATATACATATAATATTATGTTATGTATATAATAATGTGATGTAATGTATTGTAGTGGAATGGAATTACATTGAATGGAATGAAATGGGATGTATGCTATGCAATGCAGTGTAATACAAATTATATTATTGGTGCACATAATATACATATATATGTTTGTAGCGACCTAAAACGACTTCATCATAATTGATGGTTAATATGTGCAAAATCATCACACCGGGCCTTAGATACGGCGCTGTTCTAAGTAAAACAAATTAAACTAAACCTGGTCGTGTTAATCACCAACTTTTGGTTCTTAATTATCCCCCCTTTAAGAGGTGATGTCCGGTGATGTTTATCGAGAAGAAAATGGGAACCCTATCGGACCCCTATGGGAACCCTGGAGGATCCGGCGGATGAGACTGTTGCAGATGCCATGGACGAAGCCGGAGATCAGGCAGCGGACACGGCGGCTGATGCGGATGCTGCGGCTGATGCGGATGCTGCGGCTGATGCGGACGCGGCTGATGCTTCAGGTGCCCCGATGCCACACCAACAGCCCTGAATTCAGCATTTCTTCAAGATATGTTTCATTTTTTTCAATATTCTTCACATATATTTGTCACATTTTGTCACTGTATCACTGTATTTTCTACTTTTTCTGTCCAACAATCATAGTCCTGGCCGAATTCTTAACGACTTATGGCATCTCCGGGGCACCCAGGTGCCGATGATGCCGATGGCGCTGATGCCGATGCAGCACCTGAGGAAGCGGAGGAGGCTCCTGTTGAAGCGGATGCCACGGCGCCGGGAGCTGAAGTGGTGGGTGATATTGGGGAAATGCGCCTTGGCTTCACAGGATTCCACTATTCGAATCATTCCACTCTTCGAAAATGACTGGAAAGTGATGGAAAATGATGGGGATAGGGTACAATTCCAATGGTTGATCCTTATAATTATTTTCATGGCCGTTTGGGGTTTCTAGACGAACCCATTTCAGATTTTCTTGAGCAAAAAACATTGACACGTTTTTTGAACTGACAAATAGCGGTTAGCATTCGCATGCATTCGCAAACGAAATGAAAGGTGGGCTTTGTAAGGCAAGTCCGGTTTTATTGTGGGCCTGGAAAACCAGAGCATTAGGATGTAGGGCTTTGTAAGGCAAGTCCGTGTTCCCCGTGAGGTCCAAATCCAAAGTTCCAAAGGTATTCCCATTGTTCGGTCTTTGAGGGTTTGACAGGAGCTGGAAGCCAACGAGACGTAAATACATACTTGAAGGAATCTTGAAGGATTTCAAAGGTACATGCTCACGATTTGGATCAATAAGAAGACTATGCTACTGGCAATTTTGCAGCCTACACCACAGCTCTCCCATTTGAGTCTGAGTAGAATCCTTGTGTGGCCGCCGTGTTTTACTCTTTAAGGATGACCTACAGCGAGCGCGGCAGTTGTAAAGGCTTTGGAAGTCATCGGATTTCTTTCTCTTTTCAGCCAACCAGGCCTGCAACAAAGTGTGTTGGGTTGGGGTTGGGCAGTCCGATGGTGTCCTGCTCAGATTTTTGGCAATTTTGACAATGGTGTATCAAGACAAGACAATGACCAAAGCAGGCATGCTTTCTAAACAGAGCTGTGCCATTAGATATGAGACACCCATTGCGCACGGAAGCCCTGCCTTGGTTCCCATCAGGCTGGGGAGCTTCAAAGCGGAACTGCTGCTTGGCACTGAAAGAGTGTAATTGCTTTTTGCAGTGAGGGCTGCAATCTACCTGAACCACGCTGCTTTGAATGGATATAGTCAAGACATTGAGCAGACCTGTACATTTGGATGTTATTTCTTTTTTCATCAGAGTTTGGGTGTGATTGAATACTGTATCTTGGTTTCCATTCTGATTTCTATCCACAAATACGTTCCCACTGATTACCGGTTGATTGATTCATACCACCCCATCCTCCCCCATTTTTCTTTGCCAATAGGGTAAATTGGAGTTAAACAACATCTATAGGATTATGTAAATGAAAGTAAATGGTATGTCAAACCGACCCAGGTTCTGAAGGTCTTTTACCTCATGGCATATCCCTAGTTATTGTCTGATCAACATCTTTAATCTGATATCCTCAACGATGGTTGACGGGAACATCTATATACAGGAACCCCCATATTTGGCGGGTAAATACATGGCGTATATATGGTCTACATCATGGTTTCTCCAGATGTTCCTTTAAACCACCCCGGAACCCTGCACCAACCAGCTGATTCGCCGAGAAATGTCAGGCTGTTGCGTTTTTCCAACGGAGCTCCAGGCAGGGGTTACCGGGGATGGTTTGGTTATGTTTGGACTCCCAAAAGGCTAGTCATGTAGCATGGAGAAGCATCGAGAAATCATCCATTGTGGCCGCTTGATAGGTTTCTCCGAGTCTTGTCCCCCAACACTGGCACCGAAGCTTTTGCCATACTTCAAACCATCTTCTGGATCTACCTATATACCCCTGTAATGTAATATCTCCCCAGTGGAGTGTGGGTAGGTGACGCCAACTACGAGAGGGAGTATCGAGTGCTGGCACGTGGTTCCTGTCTGGATGTGCCCATTTTCGTGGATAGTGAGGAGTCACTCGGGTCAATCTGGACATTTGATTCGATGGACAGCCCGTGACAGCCCCAACAACAGTTGGTGAAAGTCTTAAGACTCACCACCATTTGGGGTGCTGCTGGGTAGTCTTGATTGATGATCTAAAGTACATGTTACGAGTGTTATTTGACAAAGAGAGATTGACTCAGTGGAAATGCATTGATCGGGCCAGGGACAGATCAGATGTATTCATACGGCGGTTGATTGGTCCATCATGTCCATCTCTGATGATCTCTCTATAAATTCGATCTAACAGTTCTTTCAGCAAAGTTCTGGACTACACGTTCTGCATATATAGTCCTTCCGCTTTGTGTGGATTGAGCTCACTCTGCTGGCTGCAAAACGTCGATGTGTCTTGAAGGTGTAACGTTTATGTATGCCCACCCACTTATTATGTACATTGACTGTATATACTGTATATACATAACATAACATACCATACGATAACAAAAGATAACATAACATATATCAGATATCATCATATATCATATATCATGTTATATGACATATCATCATATATCACATATCATATATCATAGATCATAGATCATATATGATCATAGATCATATATCATACCATACCATGCCAGATCATATTATATATACCTGTATCCCCCTTCCGGGGTCTCAACTTTTAGTCAGGCAAAATCAAGCATGTGTGAATTCATGTCCCCCCTTATAAAAGAAGGCATTTTCCATATGCCTGGCCAAGGTATTACATGGAGACCTGTGTCTATGGCCACATCTTCCGTGAAAGCGTCATGGTACGGAATCGGGCCTCCGTCGCAATGAAGATTCAGGCTTGGGAAGTCAACCAATTCCTCAAAGGTGACCCAACAGTACATGATCAAGAAGCCCTTCTTAGATCTTACTAGTGATTCTTGGTGGTTAATGAGCCCTTAATAAGCCTTCATTGTTCAGCTTGTCTTGAACACACCAAAAGAATCCAGAAACATGTTTGGGGACATAGGAGATCCTTGCTGTGGAGTTCTACTTGCGTAGCAGAGCTTTGTTTTTTTTCATTCCTCTGTAATTTTATGTGTTATTGTTCTATATATTTCTACATGCTTAAAGTTGATTCCTTTTTCCCCGATTTCGAGCATCCCCGTCAACGAGGGTCTCCTTCGTGATTGGGTAGGAAATTCATTGGAAAAAAACACCTCATTTGGGTGGACGTACCAAATCCACGCAGTATTTTATCTAGGCATATCTAGGCTTATTCTATCCTAGTCTTTTCCATTCAAGTCTAATAATTTGTTGGATATATAATTACAGCTAATATAAGTTCCCTTCGATTTTTTTCGAGACACCTTTCGCCGTTTCGCCAGGTGCAAAAACCTAAGCAGATCCCGGGTGAGCTTCAGCCGGAAGTCACAGAAGGGGATGGTCATCAATCCAATTAACAGGGGGTTGATGGGATTGGTTAAAACCATCTAAAACCATCTAAAACCATCTAAAACCATCTAAAACATATGAAAGACCAGCGATTTATGGATGGAATTTTTAGATCAAGCATCATCCGGGGAATCCGGCTGTTTTCAGGGGACCAGGTGATAATCCATACCCCATCTGATTTAGCTTGACCATGGCACATACTGATGGAAGAAGCCCTGCACCCGTTGGTAGATGGTTTATCCATAAAAATCCTAAATTAACATCCTATGATTTACAGTATTGCATAGTTACCGAACAGTTTCCATTTGGTGCAAGATTTCTTGCATCCACAGTATATTATCATATATTATCAATGTTTTGAAAAACATTTTGGACAACTTGAGCCCCAAGTTCAAAGCGGGGAGCCGCCGTTTGCCCAGGCTGAACACAGCGTTGGCCTACATCCAGGGACACGGTTCCCAGTCGATCCAGGCGAGTACTGTGAGGATGGAAGCAGATGGCCAACAACCGTGAAGAGGTAACAAGGATGAAATGCCATGGAATTTCAACAAATCATTGAGGTGTAAGTAGTTGGGGTGACTTTTATGGTGAGAACTATGGGATTTTTTCCGCCCTTTCTATCTTGGGACGCCAGAGATGGTCATAATTTTGCAAAGGTGAAGTTTTCGCCCAAGGCGGACTTCCTGGAAAGGCGCCAGTTCAATGGGGTCCATGGGACATGGGCATCCAACCCCGCAGATCATGTGGATAAAAATCATGGGGCCCAAATTTTCTGATCCGAAAAAAATTACCCCACAGCAAACCAACATAGATATGGATTTTCAGGGGTTTCGAAAATGAACACACATGGTGCATTTGCATGCATTTTCTATTTCATTCTATATCAATGTTAGTATATTGGAGGCTAGCTCGCCATAGAATGTGATGAATGATCTCTACTCCAAGTCCAATGGGTAACGGTTCCCACGGAGGCATCCAGAGTATTGTGACTCGGAACGTGGAGTGGGTGCCTTCAAGATCCCCATGCGAATAGTGGGTGCAGACCAGGCGGCGGTGGTGATTTTTCCGAATTGAGTTTGCAGGGATCGTCTCAAATCTCCAATGTCTGCAGACACCATGAGCAGTAGCAGTATACCGCAGACTTGGTGAAATGATGTGGTCATTTTGTTCTACCTTTTCTCTTTGCGGCGGCCTCAAAAGTGATGGCTATAGTGGCTCGAAGGTAACTGGGATACACAATCACACCGAGCAGTTACCCTCTGGTAAACTAACATAGCTATTGAAAATGGTGATTTATAGTGGGTTTTCCCATTGAAAATTGTGATTTTCCATAGTTATGTTAGTTTACCAGAGGGTACCCATCCCCCAAAAAACCTCAAAATTCTCAAACGAAAATGCCCCCAACAGCGCAACGATTAAAACGACCAAGGATTCGGATGAGAACTGTGGGGTCCCCCATGGCCTGGGACACCCTACATACTTGGACATCTTATGATAACCATAATATGACAAGCATATGATAACCATATGATAAGCCAGTGCTATCTGGAATGCCCGTGACTTTGCTGGAAACGGTTGCCGTCAGGTGCTGCCGGTGAACACCTGCCTCACCGGAGCAGCTCGATGCGCTGTTTTTTTTTCATTTCCAGAGAGCATTTGATGGCAAAAACTACCAAGGAAAAGCATGGGAAATCACTGGACATGTGAGTAATAGTGGAAATCACGGGTTCACATTTCACATAGAGTTCGGAAAATCAGGGGAAAAAAGGCACATGTCGGACATCCGTGATTTCAATATCGAACATGATCCACAGTCAAAGGGACATACTTTTCACCCTGTTGGACCAGGTGCTCACCACTGATGCGGTGACCTTCATCCCCCAGGCGTGGCAAAGCATCATGAATGGTTTATTGGCTTTTAAATATGTTTTAAATATGTTCAACTATTTTCAAAGACTGAATCTTATATATATATATATATTGGTCCCTGTTCACAGGGCCTGTTTGGGATGACGACTACAGCAATTTGACTCATGTCTCAGGAGTTGAAACCACCTGGATTCATGGCATGTCCTCTTTCTCAAAGTTGCCGTACGCGAAAAGCAAATGTTGAGGGGGCGGGTTGTAGCTGGACCATGGCAGGGGTCAACAACATGGGCTTGTCTAAAAATAGGGTCCCCCCAAAGGGAGTGGTTTATCATCACTTTCCGTATAAGAAATGCAACAACTTCGGGATATACAGTATATCATACAGTATATCCCAGTTCCAGACACACCCAAATATCATATTGACTAGACATATCCCAGAAATTCCCAGTAAATATGCTAAACATCATGGTCCCATGTTTAATCATACCACATTAGACATATTTTTCCATACCTGGAATGATCCTCCCAGTCGTGCATCATATTCTTAGGACAGGTTGAACCCCGACAATGCCTGGAGGTGTTGAATTTTGGCAATTGCTATGTGGGCAGCTCCATCGCGTGGCTCAGCTGGTCAGCTAGCGCGTTGTGGAACTGAAACTGGTGCCAGATCATGAAACATGATAAGAACATCAAGATGGGTGTGTCTGGAAATGGGGTATACCCCAAAAATGATGATTTAATATGATTTAATGGCGAAAGCACTGATGAACTATGGGATTTTGGGATACCCTATTTTCAGACGAACCCAGATAAGCAGTAGCTAAATCCACTAACATAATTAAAACAAAGCTGGTTGAATGATGTTGAATGGAGATCTTAGCCAGGTTAGGAAAGAACCCGGCCCTTGAGGATGCGCTTGGTGTTCACCAACGAGTCGTTGCTCAAAAGGAAGTTTGCATTTCCGTGCCTCAGCTCAAGTTTTGACTGTTGCACTGAGGTAATATTGCTGTGTAAGTATAGATGCGCACATATACATGTATGTACGGTGTATAGCGATATGATGTATAGAAGCACACTACACATTTATCTAATTGAATCTAATCTAATCTGTTCTGATACAATCACATCCTGTCCTACCCTCTGCTATCCTATCTATGTATCTGTATCCGTAAATATCATATACATACATACGTATATACACGTATAATATATATATATATACATACTACTGTATATGAATATATTTATATATCCTATACATCGCAATTATATATTATATACATACATGTATTATATATATATACATATACCTGGGTTAACATATATATATATATTTATGTACATGCACACACACATATATATACATGCATATATATATAATATCTTATATATATAGGTATATATGATTATATACAGTATGTATAGAATATACATTCCATATCCCGATATACATGCAGTATTTATATCAATGCACCCTAAGGATGTCAGGGATGAATCATGTGGACTTCCAACCATGTGTAGTCACTACCATGATGGTCCTCTACTAGTGGCTCTCTACTCCTGTCATTGGATCCTTTTCATTCCAATCAACCACTGAAAATCATCAAATGCATATTTCGGACGGTCTAGAGTCTAGTTCCCCATAAAAGAACCTCTGGCTTCCGAGCACATTGTGTTAGTAAAGCCACAACTTGTGCAGCTGCCTGAGGCGCTTGCCTTCTGGCATCAGCATCCACAATGTTCCTCCAGATGTCTTAGAGGAGGAACGATGGGGAGGAGTGGATTGCCCTCCTGGAAGTATTGCAGTGCCTTGGAAACTGAACCATTAAAATGGTGATTTAACCATTTACCATGGTGGTTTACTATGGTTTGCTAGCATATCTATGGGGATATTCCCTTTTTTTCCTCCAACACCTTCGCGATCATATGACTTCCCAAATAGGGAGATGAAAGGCCCATATGGTTGCATGAACCACTTTATGATATATTATGTAGCATCATTTTACATACATACATATATATATATATAGGTATATATAGGTATATTTATATATATACACATACATAAGTTGGTTTCTTCGACAAACTGAGGTGTTGGAGGGAGGTGGCGAAGGCATTTTCGGCTCCTTACTTCCAGGCTGGTGATGGCCAACTCTTCCCAAGAACGAAGCCGTAAACTTACGACCTGTTTCTGTAGGAATAGCAGGCTATGTGGTATGTTGTGGTTTTGTATCTATATTTTGAGCCCGAATGATTAGCCGGATGGTAGAATATTTTTATTTGCCAGTTATCTCGTATACACCTCCTGAGTCTTGGGGCTGTAGAGGAATGTATCTAGCCATCCCCCCCAAAAAATAGAAAAGTAAAACACAAATCAAAAGCTTAGAATGGATGACCTTCGCATGACGTCTCTATCCTTTTCAGGTTGCCCCTAGAGCCCTAGAGATAACATCAACAGCATGGACGATCGGGGACCGCTTGCCCAGGCGAGCGGCGGCAAGTCTCTGTGATCTTCAGTCCAGAGTCTGCAACAGAGATGAACCACAAGATCGTTTTCAAGGACCGAAGTGACCGAAGTTGACCAAAGCATTGAGCCAAACAAAACCAGTGATGGAAGTGATGGGAATTGGCAAGGGAATCATCCCCATTTCATGACCTCGTAATGATGGTGTTTCAGGCTGGTAGATCATAATTCAGCCAGAAACGTGGGGACTCTTAGAGTCCAGAAGTGAACACTTACTTTCTGAAACAGTCATGAAACATTTCCCATGCATAGATATTTATAGTTGTTCCTAGCTATAAAGCTCCATGGCTAGTTCGGGGATTTCCCCTATTTTCCCATTCTTTTCCAGATAGAAACTGGGCAGGTTCTCACTGGAGATCTCTGCGCGCGTGAATTCACAGTGCCATGCACCGGCCAGGGCGTCTCCCAGATCCTTGGATCTGGACTTGGTGATACCTGGTAGTTGATGATGAAATGGGGGCTTATCTTAACAACATATATGAAACATCATTAGTTTTGTTGGATTTGGTGGTAATATAGTATAATATAATATGATATAATATGAATATAATATAATATAATATAATATAATATAATATAATATAATATATATATATATACTATAGCATCAACATACCAGACAAAGAGGTTTGAAAACTCATCAGATTCATCAGTTGGTCAAGTATTGGAAGTGGATAACTGGATTGAACCATGCATCATGGCCGTGCCACGCCAAGCGACGTCTCAGGGTCATCGAATTTTCGGAGACCCAGCTGAACCTGGCCTCGATTCCGAAAGATTCCAGCAGTCGCGAGTCGGTGATCGTCACCAACGTCTCCAAGGTGCACCGGAGAGTTGAACTGGATGTGGATTGGAAAAAACATGATCAATGTTGAAAATCCAGTTTCAGATTGAAAAATCCATTTTTTTTATCCAGTTCTATTGGGAAAATCATGATTTTTCATGATTGAAATGGAAACGAAGTCTGGAGTGAATTGTATCCGAGCTTCGGGGTCTTTCGCATGGACCCATTAAATGATCAACGAGATTCCCTCCTTACTATCCCAATTCTGGGAAGATGATCCTGTCTCAACATCCGCAAACTAGTGAGTGTGGCAAGAAACCGACATCCCAGTACCCAACCATTTGGGGGTCATTCTAGATCATCTCAAATAGGATCAAATAGGGCCTATACCCAATAATGCATCCGAATTGGGATGGTTGGTTTATCATTCAGTTTCATCATTGTTTTGCGTTGGGTTGAAACTGCAACCAGTGGCACAAGCCGTGCCTTTCGTAAGTAACAAGTCCCACCTTTCGAGGTGCCACAGATCATCAACGTGCTGATGCCGCAGTATGAGCTGTGTGCCTGGGATGCATCGCGGCGCAGCGGAGGGTGCCAATTTGATGGAGACGTTGGAGACATTCCGGACCTCGCTGTGCACGGTTTGATTGCGGCTAGAACCATCCTGTTGGGGGAGTCTTTCAAGTGACATGGTTTCCCCTGGGCTAAGCGAGGAAGACAAGCTCAGTTGTCTGGGGCACCCCAATTGATATTTGGAATATGCTGGGAAGCCACCAGGCAGACTTCTGGCTGACTGGGAAAATCTTTGGAATCTGTTCTAAGTCCCCTAAAGTTAATGAAAGCTCAACATCATCTCTCTTTCTCACTCTTTATAATATATATATATATACATACATACAAGATCATACAAATAACTATATAATATAAATGTATAAATACATAAATAAACAAATAAATAAATATATATATATATATACCGTATATATATATTTATACATGATATGTATGTTACACCTGGATCTTGGCTTCGGCCTTCTAAAACACTCCTTGGTGTCCTGTGCCAGGTGCCATGAAGGCAACCCCCGTCTGCTGCACCTTAGCGCCAAAGGAGTCCCGCAGGCTGCAGCTGGAATTCAAACCCACACAGGAGACGACCGGCCACGAATTTGAGGAAGTGCATCCGCCATCATAAAACGGGGGATATTCTATTATTAGTATAGGGGGTTATATATATATATTGTATATGTGTATACATTCTGTGCATATATATATATATATATAGTATTAATATTAGCGACCCAAGTTTTTTTTGGCCCATAGTTAGATCATCCATATAGAAGTGGAAATGGACCGGATAGGTGATAGATACACTCATTCAACATGGGAATGCACCGGCCCTGTTGCAATTATTTATATAACTTATATATATATATGTATATATATATATATATGTATATATATATATATGTATATATATATGTATATATATATATGTATATATATATATATATACATCTCCACTTCTCCTGTTGAACCCCCTGTTGGTGATTGTACTTCTAGGAGGTGATTATACTAGCCAAAATATCGGGAGATCCATCACTCCATCACCTTGGGATCAACCAACCAGCAGCCTGGGCTCCAGGAGTACGTGGACCTGCTGAAGAGTCCAAAGGAAGAGAAAGCTGAAGCTGCGGATGGAGATCTTTGGCATCGGAATTGGATGGAGATCATTGGAATCAAAAGGTTACTTTGTATATCAAAAATGGTCACTATATGTCACTATGAAATCAAAGATCCATAAAAAAAAAATAAGACCAGCTTCTTTGCTGAAAAATCTCAGGCTCAGTTTGCATTTCAATCATTTCAATGGCATTCGGCCGTGTGTCAAAATCCACGAGTTGAAGAGGTCCTTAACAATCCGTAATTCTTACAGGCACGCTAGTTTTTCATTCATTTCTTCCACATCAACCCATCCCAAGCTCTGGGAACTCGTTTGACCAAGGCAGCCGAGGAAGCAGATGAAGCGGAAGGTCAAATGGATGACGAGGAGTACAAGTGGCTATGGCGAAAAAGAGCGGGGATGAAAGCCTGGGGGATCGAGAGGATGAACATGAGTTGAGCCCAGGCAGATTGTGTTTGGAATGAAGGTAGGAAGGTAAGTGCCCAATCGGAAATAGTCCAAAATGACTGATGTAGTGCTCAACCTGGATCCATCATGGAATCCCCTTCTAGGAATCGGGTACCTTACGAAGGGTATACACACCATCGTTCCATGGCATAAACTGGGATAATCCCAAGAACGGGTGACTTGTTAAACCGGGTTATTGAACCTGTTTCTACATGAGTGGGTTGATCCTCCAAGCAAACCCCTACATCCATGTGCTATGTGAGTGTTGGATCCCAAGCAAGCCAAAGTGGAAAAGAAGATGTGTTTTTGATCTTCAGTGAGCTATTATTTTTAAATGAATCTTATACGGCAAGAGCTCTTCACTGTTCATTCGGTGTTGCTTCCAACCAACATGGTACGGTCTTAATGGATACTGGAAGAACCGTGATATTTGCACCCTCCGGAGTGAGATGATACCAGCCGGTACTCAGGCAGCACCAGCTGACAGATATCCGGATGCATGGTGGGCGGAGATGGGAAGCAGAGGACTGCCGGAAATTGCCAGGTTAGATTGGGAAATTGGCCTTGATTGTGGTGTTTTTTGGCTTCGGAAACATTCCGTACAGTTGGATAATGTTCATTTATTGGTTTGGTCTATCTCTATGCGAAAACTTGATGTCATTCCGCATCCATTTGAGTAAAACTTGGCTGGGTAGGTTCCTGACTTATGTTCTTGCCAATGGAAAACATAGAACATGTAGTATCATGTAGTAACATATCCATCCATATCCCACTAGAAGTATCAAAAACAACTCTTGGGTGTCTGACAAAGGGTTATACCATGTTATACCCACAAAACAGCAATTTTCACAATGGAAACCAATGATAAAAACACTGAATTTTGGGGTAGCCTGTTTCGTGACTGCTCCGATTTTCTTTGGTATCCAAGACTAGCGAACGATTCCACGCTGCATACGACGGGGCAGGCGGGCACGATACATAGCTCTTGGCGCTTGCCTGTCTATTTCCGTCCACAGCACCTCGGTCAAGATAGCCAGATGCAAAACATTGCTACCTCACAACAAACATAACAAACCCCTCTGAAATGATGGTTAATAAGTGTTAGATAGTGTTAGTAATTTCGACAAAAGGGCCTCAAGATTGGCAATCATTATAACATGATTTGGCCTTGAATGAGGTTTGGCCCAGAAATTTCAGCTGCTGAACAATTAGGTGATGATGATGATGGCAAGCCGGGATCAGTGATCTTAAGGGTTTATTAAGATGGGGTACCATATCTGATCGATTCTATGTGGCAGAATCTAAATTTAAGTACCCTCTGGTAATCAAACATGGCAACGGAAATCCACCATTGATAGATGATTTTCCCATCAATGTCAATGTCTCCATTTATAGCAGATTTCTAAATGCCATGTTTGATTACCGGAGTGTAATTTATCACTTTTGAGGGTCCGTAGCTAATTATATAGGCAGTTCAAGGATGGATTAATCTAGGGTTGACATTACCCAAAAATCTGATGCGGTATTGCTAAATTCTAGTGACATTTGTTTCTTCGGGATTTTGATTGTCACCTTTTAGTTGTCCTTCCAGTCATGGACCACCAAGCTGTGACCCGTGAACTGGGAAGCAACCAACCTGTACGCCTTGACGTAAACGTGAGGAATGCGCGGGAGAGCCGGGAACAGATGTGCTACCTCGGAGTGAGCACATGCGCCGTGGACTCATAGAACTGTTGGCTGTTTCCGACTAATTCATGGTTTATTTCCAACGAATGTTTGGCAATTCTGGGAGAAAATGCCGATCAACTAATCACATTTGTGGATACCTTATTCTGAGGCAGACTCTTGTTGTTTGACGGCTATGGGTCAAAACTGGAGCAGCAATGAAACCATAACATTGCTCATGTTCAAAATTAAACTACACTGGACTATCCAATTTCAGCCGTCAATCATTTTGCCCCATACCCGGATGTTTTCCAGCTCTCCATTTTTTGATGGCTAGGCCTAGGACTAGGACCCAGCACGTGCCATGAAGCTCTAGGGATGATCTAGTGGTTTAATCATCTTCCAAATGAATGCTTCAAAGCAATAATAGTGCTTGGACATGGTGTAAATGTAGTACCCCCCAAAAAAGATATAAGAGTAATTTGCATTGTTTTAGATAGGATTTCAATCAATTTCACGCACACACACACACATTTCCGTGATTTTCTGATCCTGAGGTGTTCTTTCGAGCATTCTGTCGCTGTCTCCACCGAAGCTGGACTTTGGCGACATCACGGCGGGACAACGTCATGTCTTGTCACGGCCCTCAGATCGACGTCAGATCTGCTCGATGGTTCAGTTTCGTGGTCCGAGGCCTTTGATGATCACCAATCTCACCCCGGATGATCCTCAGGAGTGAACGAAAGATTTATCAAAATTTGCATAGTTAATCTTGTTAACTTGTTATGGCTTGATTAGCTAGTCTTTCATTCAAAAATGATTATCCTCACATGATGATCCTCAAATGCTGAAAAGCTGAAAGACGAACATTTGAATCTCCACTAGAAGCCTTTGGTATCCTTTGGTCAGGTCATAGATTTGTGGACATTCTGCCTAATGCGATGGATGAATGTGCCGGTCAACACTTCAGTCCCTTCAACCGACACATTTGGGGTAAACGGTCCCGTTCTTGGGGCAACAAAAGGCATAAGTTGCTCGATTGTTTCTTCAGGGAAAGACATGGAAACTGTATGTGTTTCATTTTGAGATTTTCCATTATTCTCCCCAGACCAAAATCGATCCATGGCAGCATTACCCTCATCCATTTTCCGACCAAAGTCGATCCCAGCCACATGACGCATCTGACAGGAGCTTCACATGGAGGCTCTTCCTGAAAATCAGTGCTTTGCCGTTCTGAATGCCCCTCGCACCGTGGGAGATCGAGCCTTCCAGTGCCCAAGCAGCAGCTTCAGACAGCAAAGGCCTGTGTCTGAAAACGGAGTAGAAAACCCCCACAGTTATGGTCGACAGGAAAATGATGATCAACCAGTGGATGGAATGGGGTACTCTATTTTCAGGCAAATCCAATGTTTCTGTGTTTTTTTATGAATAAATCTGCATAGATCATAAATAATTAACCTCAGTGGGACGTCACCGGAGTGATGATCAGTAGGGGTAACTATCCCAACATGTTCTTATTTCAGGTTAGTGAATCATTCTAATTCATCCTTATGTATATACATATTATATATGTATATGTATACATATATATATATATGTACTGTATACGCATGTGTATATATATATATATATGAGGATGTTGATTCATGTTGATCACTGGTTGATATATGATAATAACATGTAAGTAATGGTTAGTCAAACCAAGCTAGTAATCAATGCGACTCTTCGTTTTTTTGGTCTCTTGGATTTCGGCGATGTTCGACACCGTTCGTAATTTCTTCGTAACAGGGTGTTCTTAAAATACTGTATAACTCATTTATCAGAGGTTATAATTGTCCTGACTCTATACTCCACAACTCTTATATAGCTTTGCCAGCATTTTTTTTGTATATTTTTTTTTCCAGAAGTTATGCGAGTAATAAACATTAAGAAAAACTCAGCCCAGCTAGTTCGTGGTGAATGAAGGGGTTTCTTTGAATATAATGGGAAAGCTACAACATTTCATGGTTGATCATGAAATTCCCCAGCAAAATGGTAATAGTGGGGTTTTGGACACCCGAACATTGATGACTCAACCATATATCATGGGCATATCCCACTGTACATATGTATGTATGTGTATCATAATGTATAATGCAAGTATACATAATACAGTACATATAACCAGGTTATAAGCGTGGTCCAGAACCAAATACCAACTGGGCACATCCAAGCAGCATTCTGCATCTGCAAGGGGCCAATACAGCTTGGAACATTGCCTGATCATGGAACGTTCGTGACATCTCTATGGTTTGGAGTTTCTGCGTACCACAAGTGAGAAGTGGCTGCTAATCCCAGGTTGAGTGATGATTGTAGGTGGGTTATACATGCTTATACTGGCTATACTATCTAATATATTAGGGATTATCATCCATAAACTCTGAATCCCTAGTGACCAAGCAGGATGATGGACAGAGCATTCTGTACACTACTAGGTGAATATGTTTTAAGTGATGAAGGTTAGGTTGCAAGAGGCTAGTCTTCTTTTTGCGTCAGCTGGGATGATAGCCCCCAAACAGGCCCTTCACCCTCATGATTGAGGATTAGGTGCACGCATGATGAGTATTTCTGTCGTTCTTTATTGATTAATACTTACTTGTTACTTGCTTTTGCTTCAGACTATTATTATTACTATTGCTATTGGTACTATTACTATTATCATCATTGTGATTCTGATGATCGTTATGATTATGATGATTATTGTGATCTCTGTATTAATTCTATGTACATACATACATGCATTTCTTTGAACACAGCTTCTTGCATGAATCAGCTGTGGTTTCGGCATCGGACCCCCAGGTTCATGATTGAATTCAAGCCTCAGCTGGTCCAGATCTACCAGTGCAGCCTGAGTCTTCGGACGGACAAGACGCGGGTTCAGGCACCGGAAAGTTGGAAGTGCCGCAATCTCATGGCATTTTTAGACTTTTGATAGTTTTTGTTGGTCCAAACTTGGAAGTGCGATATCCAGCATTATGCATGTATATATATATTATATAATTATATATATTATATGTATATAATTATATATATATACATATGATCATATATGTGTTTTTTCCTCTGAAGCATCCCTGTTTTTTTTTCCAGCTTCCATGGTAGTTTTCTCTGATCTGACGAAAGGATCTGGCCGTTTTGAAGAGGAAAAGTGTTGATTAACCATTGGATTTCTGGGGCATTTTTCAAAGCGGGGCCTACGGGCTTGGAAGGTGCCTCTGAGAGGGAAAGGCGTTTGTCCGGTACTGAAGATCGAACCGGAGGCCAGGGGGTATCGCTTTTTTTTTTGCATCACCAAGCCATTGCAGATTGACATAGATTGACATAGATTGACATAGATACTGTATACCAATCTCTCGATATGTTCGTATAAATACATTCATATCTATATGCTTTTGTATATCAGCGGAATGCCACATATCAAAAAATCACCCGCAGAAGTCTCTGCAAAGCCTGACTGGTTCTGTGTCAGGATGGTGTCATCCACATGGGATCTGTGGTGTACAACAAGGAAGCAAAGGAGCCACATCCCTCGGAGAATCAGGCCGGTAACCTGGAGCAATCGCGCAGCCGGTGAATTTTTTTGCAGGACTACACCACAAATCAGCTGGTCATCAAAAATGAGAGCCCCTTTGAGCTGGTTTACAAACTTGAGATCCTTGGCGATCCCCACTCGACCGGTGGTTGATGCTAGCGGCTGCTAGCGAGTAGTGTGGCTACGCGGTGATACCAAGTGCTTTATTGGACATTAGGAACCCATTCTCAACAGAAAGGGATGACAGAGGGTGAATTGGACTGCTCAAATCAGTAGTTGGGAAGGAGTGCCGGGTCATCCATTTGCACAGTGAATGTGAAAGAAAGCAACCAGAAGGATCTGAAGCTCAATGGCTAGATTTAAGGGAGACAATTACAGGACACATCTGGCTTTCCCCATGAAATTCTTGGAAATTCCAGCTGCAGATTTTCCATTCAACTTCTGAACAAGGGGATTTCCCAATCAGGTTATGGGGTACCACCCAAATTTGGTCTGGTTGCATGATCATGTTTCCCCATTTTCAGACACCTTGGATTTCGAAGTCAGAAGTTGTAATGAGGATTTTATACTTTCATAATCATCCATGTATTCTTACTATTCATCGTTTTTTGAACGTGTTTTTTCTTTTTAATGTGGTGAACATAATAGGAACCTCCCATTTGATGGTTGATACCATCCATCCCTAGTGGGGATGGTAAACTTGTCGCCGAGGACGGTGATCCGTGGTGATCGTGGGCCACCACCCTTCACCCTGACGCCAAATAGCGCCACCGTGGCGGACGCTGAGCTGGGAAAGCATGGCTTTTTGCGAATGACGAGGGATTTCTCCTGTAACAAAATCACTGCAAGGATTGTTTTGTGTGTGGTTTCAATGGATAGATTTATGACATAGAGGTGCTATTCATTGATAGGTGCATGGCAGTTGTTCATCGTAAGTTTCCCACTTTGTCCCATAGTGTTTTTACTACCGCCGTTTCACAACCAAGATGAACCAGCCCACCATTTCGCAAACAAATATGATAAGCCTGATAAGCCTGATAAGCCATGGGATTTATGGGGTATACTGTGACCCATTTTTAGACACCCATTGTGGTGTAAGTTAAAACCCCATCACCCTGGCTTTATCCACTGAGGCCAACAGCTCTCTCAATGCGCCTTTGCTGCAGATCCGCTAGAAGGGCAAAATGGGGATGGCTCAACCAATGAGATACGAAGGGATCCGAAAACGCTTGATGTTTTGGATCTGAAAACCATCCAATCTTGAGGATATCCCATACCATTTGCGCTCCCAACTTTGTTGACCCGTGGACGGCCCGTGGACCAGACGTCGTAGCGAGGTCACTGTAACCTTCCAACCGCGCCGGCCAAATGCAATCTTTCGGGAGAAAGTGCTTGTCCGATGCTTGGGATGTGGCAGAGTTCCTATATGGGACATTATGGGACCAGGGAACCAAAACATCCTAGCTGAAAACGACTGAAGAATTTTGGCTACAGTTAAACTATGATGATTTTACCGCTTTGACAAGAAAGTCTTTATCCTTCTAAACCACAACAGGTCAATGTGCCAAATCAGCGAGAGCAGACCTATGCCACTCTCTCAGAGTGCTGCAGCCGACACATGCGGATTGATCAAGGGCTTATTGATAGCTTTCTACCCATTACTGGCTATTTTGATGGAAACATAACAATCCATGGGATTTCAGGATATAAATAAGGATACAGCGTGTTTTCATACAAACCCATGGGGTTTTCTGGTGGGTCCTGCCTTATTGGGGTCACACATACAGCGGATATCAACTATTTTTTGCGGGTTTGTCAGAAAAATCGGAAACTACTCGTAGGGTAGCCCTAAATTCACTGGTTAATCATGGTTAATCAGTTAATCATCATTTCCCCTTGTTAATATGTCATTTTTTCTTGGCGAAGTACCCCATTTTCAGACAAACTCATTGAGAACCATGGTCTGAGGTCTACCTCTATGGTCACTGCTTCAAGTACCAGGCGGAGGGGTAGTGGACATGGCTCAGGGTGTTATTTGATGTTTGAATAGCAAAATCATGGACATTTCACCCAAGTGATAATTTTTCTAGATCAACAACACACCTGGAACAATGAATAGGACCATACTTGGACCACAATTCTCAACCTGAGATTTCACCACCTTTCACAACTTCATAGCTGGAACAACCATAGTAACCATAGTAACCATAGTAACCAAGTCTGAGGGAAAGGTGCCGGACCGCACCCCGCCCCAGGGATACTGCTTGTACGGCATGGACTTCAAAGCCTTCGGTCGCCAGGAAGCCCAGGCGAAGGCACGGACCTGCGCAGAAAAATGCCGAATCTATGACTGGGTTGCTATGAGTGGTTTATCAATGTTTATCATACATATATTATATATAATTACATATGTAAGTACTGTAAGTATATATATATATGTTATGTATATATATATATTGAATAATATATATATATGTATGTAAATATGTATATATATGTATGTACACATATAATCACACATATATATATATATACACATGCATTTCAATTACACATATTTTATGACCTGATCTTTATGACGGATGACTGGCTCTCTATGGCCAGGCGGCCTTCCTGGACTCCTTGGCGGTAGGCCATGCGGGGTACCGGTAAACATACAAAAAACGATGGAAAATCACCGTGTTTCATGGGTAAATCAACTATTTCTATGACTATTTTCAATGGTTTTTTATATGTTTACCAGAGGGTAATGTGGGACATGTGGGAATGATTCAAATGATAGTGGAAAATCGACCATGATTCAAAATCAAATGATACTTTGGGATACTTTGGGGGTAATGTGGGAAACCCAATGCCATAAACCTACGATTTGGGGATGTTTTTTTTTGGTACCACCCATACTAAAAACTGTGATTTGGGGGATGGTTTTTGTCATAGGCAAACCCACATAATGCACATCCAGCTTGGGTATGGAACACTTGATGAATTCTAAGACAAATACTGTAGAACAATGTTGCCATGTTTGGGTTTGAAACGTCCAAGTTTTCGGGAAAGAATTAGTGTTGGAAGATTCGGTTTCCAGGATGTTCATCACTTTTTCGTCACAGTAGGCATGGCAGAAATTTGGACGTACATGGAACCATTCGCTGGATACTCGTCAATTCTGAATCTCATTCTCATTCAGCCGACTCTAGAAGTACTGAAGTCTTCAAACATGTCATGCAGATGCCATTCCTGCACAATGTTTCCAGGCTGAGCAAGCCAGAACCTCTCTGGGTGATGCAATAACGATTTGACGCGGCACGATAACCCCCTATCACGGATGTGCTTGAAGAATAAGTGTGAAGAACAAACCAAAAGATATTTCAAAGATGCCAGCCCCCAAAAGATATTTTTAATATGCCAGCCTCAAAGTACTTCAGTTCACAAAAAGATCAGATGTGGTAAACCCAATCATAAACCTAAGTATCATCCCCAAATGATAGGTTTATCATTGGGTTTACCACATTAAGAGGTAGCCACGGAGCCAGAACCGCAGATTGCTCGAGGCACGGGCGCCACCGTGACTGCGGAGGGTGCTTTTGAGTATCCAAACGCGCAGAGCAAGGCCGGCGCGGAACGCGGGAGCGTGGGATGCTGAAAAGCTGTAGCTGTGAAATGTGCCCAAACATGTGCTACTCTCCGAACCGCGAATATGACCTGAGAAGTGTTGTTGAGCAGAAGTGGCCAGCAGACTTTCACACGAAATTTGGTGACTCCAAAGCAGCAAGCTGAGGCTCGTCCACTGCTTTTCATCAAATAGATTTGGACACTGGGCACGTTGCCCCACTGCCAGGAATTTTCCTTGGTCTTCGAGCGTGGAGAGAAGTTGAAGCTCTTGATGATAGGCCCGGCCATTGCATTGAGAGAGTGGAGCGACTGTCGTGAGCTTTGTACGACTTCCAGCACTTGCGCGGTAAAATATAGTATATGAATGTGTATGAAAGAAATGACGTGGACATCCATAATTTGAAAACTTGACCTCAGGCATTCCGTTTCATGACTGCTTCTGAACAACTAGGGATGACACGGATCTTGTGTTGCTGCTTGGCATTCTGGCTGCACCAAGAATGCTCATACATAGGAACACTTCTCATGTCAGAGTGCAGTTTTTACACCGTGCTTTGTCTTTTGCAGGGTTAGAAAAAAAGGCATATGAAACATGTTTCAAGAAGTGTAAAAAGACATAAAAAGACCAGCAAAAAGATGTATACAGACTGTTTGGCATCAGAATCTGGTTGGATTACCTCTCTCGCAAACTGGCATTTGTCAAACTGCACCATTCCAAGCCTGCCATGCATATAGGGGGATGGTCACATGTTTTGTTTTCCGAATTCCAATCAATGCATTGTCTACCAGGAACATATCAAGTAGTTCAAAAGTAATCGTTGTTTCACCAAGCACCAGCCATGGCGCGCTTCTTCAAGAAATGTTTTGAGCGTATCTGCGGAAGTTGCGCCCAGATTTGTGGGCCTGTGGTGGCGCGGTGGAAAGTTGAGATGGATCTTAGAGCTTGAACAGCCTGGTGATTTCGCAGCTTCATTAACCAACCAAACTGGTGATTTGTAGCTCCATCCATTCAAATCGGCAATTCTTTAGGTTCGTAGAGCAACCAAAGAGGTGATTTGAAGAGTGAAGTAACCATTATATTACACCCAGGGGACCATAGACTTAGTATTTTTTAAACAGAAAGGTTGGAAATAGGGGCCCAGTTTTACCACGTTTGTGGAAGTGCAGTATTTAATAGTTTCTTCTATATCATATATAATATTTGATCATATGTCATTTCCAATCTGTGCTCATAAATATTTACTTTCATCATGTTCCTTTATATCATGGAAACATTTACAAGTAAAACTTTAAACCACATTGAGAACCACTTCTTACGTGAGAATACTTGATTGACGACTTTTTGTTTCTTCTCCAGGATATGTTGGCAAAGGTAATTTTACTTTTTACATTTTTCTTTTTCGTCTTAAGGTGATTCCCAGTGAGCCCCCATAGATTACCAGACATCACCAGATGTTCCCAAAGATCACCCGTACAGCGTCATCGACCAACCAAAATGGTGATTTGATTTAACCATGTTGGACCAGCAACAATGGGTCAATTGCTGGATACACCTTGTTGAAGGGTAATCGATAGACTGGACAAATCATGGAAAACCAGCCAGAAATTAAGTACTTATATATGCTTGTATAATCTCATGAATGAATGAATGAACGAACGAACAAATGAATGACTGAATGACTGAATGACTGAATGAATGAATGAATGAATGAAGGCATGAATGAACGAACGAACGAACGAATGAATGAATCTGATATAACTTTAAAATCTTTTAAATCAATAAGGGTATCCAAGGCTAGTCATTATTGATCATCCCCAAACTGGATATTCTAAGGTATCCCAGGATAGGTAGTTACCGGGGCCTTGCGATTTCATCGAGTTGAGATCACCATTGCATCCTGTGCTGAGATACTGTATCCCGTTTTTGGACGAACCCCACCTGGAAAATCAAGATTAACACATCTATTCCCTTCGATCTTATCTTCACACGGGTGTGTCCGAGAATATAGTGTATATATTTTACCCCCAAATGTGACTCAATGTGGTGGTTTATCATGGCAATTTGCCTATTAAGAGCGCAATAAATTTGGGGTTTCCGAGGTGGACCCAGGGGGTTGCAGGTGATCATTTGCCTCTTGGCTGGCAGCTCGTTGGCGAAATTGATCTTCCGATATCTGCAGCCGGTGCTGTCCTTCTTGGGAGAGCGGGTCCACATCGTTGAGTGGCTGGGTTGCAGGTGGGTCAGGTCAGGTATTCTACTCAAAAATTGGAGGGTCAACTATGGAACATAAAATGATGGACACATATCGACAAATCTGCGGTTTGTGTGGTACCTCAGGTGTGGGTTTGTCTGAAGATAGGGTACTACTAAATCTGCTGGTTAATGCATCATTCTTTTCCCTACTTAAACTGCCATGACTGGGGGGTATACCCCTCACACAACCCCACATTCTTTCAACCGAACACTCTCTGGTGGTTTCAACTAAGTTTTATATTTTCCACCATAGAAATGATATTCCTATTATACATATATATATAATGGACGTCAAAATTTCCACTACCAAAAGGCTGTGCTTGAGGGCCCTTGCGAACTGCATTTCAATAAGAAAATTGCATTCCCAAACCAGCCTTGTGCACATGCTTTTGTAGGTGGGCTGTGTTTTTGTAGAACTTTTGAATCTTATAAAAACCAGGTGTCCTTTTGCAGGGAACATTGTTTTTTGGTCATGCAAAACCATGAGCACAAGAGCCCTCATTTTGTAGCAGACATGTTGGTCAAGTAAAAAAGGGTCAAATGGTTCTATTTTGCTCGGGCGCTCATTTTTGTAATGCTGTAATTTGTTTTGCATTTGGTAGGCATTCATGCCCGTGCCCACAGTAGCCTTTTTTTGGGCTTTGTTTGTTGAAGGACATTGTTGATTTCAGTGCTGTGACCGAAAGGGGGTTGCAGAAAAGCGCTACAGAGGGCTTAAATCTATTTTGTTGGTGTGAATGGGGTTGTGCCCTTTATTTTGTATTACAGGATCGGAATGACAACCTGATATTTGACTACTGATATTGAATAAAGGAAATAAACAACGGATATCCCGGTTCTATTCGGAAAGATTTGGCACAGGCTTGCAGAAGTGGATGGTTACCCCAAACCCGGGCTGGCTCTCTACAAAAAGGGTACCCCCTTCATCAATCCTACAAAAAGATTAAAAAACGCTTTGCGAAAACCGTTTCATCCTTTCAAATCCTGGTTTATCCGGAGAATTTGACAGTCCATGCCTTTTGGGTTCCCCAAAAAAACAATAAATGCCCAAAGAAACCATTTACAGGGAAAGTCATGAACGGATGTTCCGATTCTATTGGTACAGGTTCGGCATTGGTTTACCGAATGTCAACGGTAGGCCCCAAATCTGTTTACAGGGCTTGCCAGTGACATGCGCCAACAAAAAGATCAAAAAGGCCTGCCAATTCGAACTCGATCGGCTAGCGCAATCCAAACTTAAACCCAGCAAGGCTGAAGACAACTTTCTTTAGAAGAATTATGTGTGAAATATAAAGGAAGAACCAACACGTCGGTTTGTTCGATTGACATGGGACAGTCCGAGCGCAAACTCAGGATCTGAAAAAACACATCTTATGACTCACGCGAATCACGCGAAGAAAAAAAACTCATTCAGATCTGATTCATCCTAGCAATCCCCAGGGGTCACCGGTGGTTCACTACCTTTTGTTTTTTTCTTGCATGTTTAGACCCAAAATCAATGAAAAATGGGCTCACTACAAAAAGGAATCTCGTTCTAAGAATCATCAACAAAATGGGCCATTTAGACATCTATATAGACACCTAAAATCACATTGTCTTTTAGTAGGGGCTGTAGAAGGGGTGGGTGCTTCCTTTTGGTAGGGTTTTTTTTGGTTGTTTTTGACCTCAAGCACCCATTTATGTAGTAGGGTGGGTTGGAACAAGGCTTTATAGCTACAAAAAGCGGTGGCCAACCCACCCCCTGAAATTTCAACCCCCATTATATATATACATTACATACACGTCACATGTCACATGTATTTTTCTTGAACCAGACCAGCTGAGGTTGCTGGGTGTCTTGGGTTGGGGTTTGTGGATCGTGGGCTTGGGCCTACCAGCCCTGGGCTGGTCCTTCTGCATCATTGCGATCGCACCTGGCTGGCCGTATGCACTCTATGACCTGATGCATTTGGGCTACAAGCAGGCGCTATAGCAGACGCTTTGCCGATGGTTTGCGACTACATAATTTACATATATATAGGCTGCTATAGCAATGCCCAAAAGATAGAAAAACTGTTCGTCACTACTTTAGATTCAGAAAGTTCCATCTTTTTTTGGGGGTACTATACATCTGTAATTATATGCCTATAGTCTATACATCAACATTAGATCTTCATATGTATGCATAGATACATGTGAAGAAATTATGACATCACCAAGCCTGGTCAGTTCGCTCAGCGCGAGGGGCGACGCCGTGTGCTGCTCGCTGTGATTGGCCTGCATCATCTACAGGACTCGCTGGAAGCGCTTCGGCGAAGGGGGTTTCCCAAACAACCATATAAATCACAGGGATTTCCGATTTTTTTCTCCGTGAAAAATCATGGAAATCCATTGAAATCCCATCATTTTCATCCATGAGTCATCCATGTTCCCCAATTTTTGATGGTTGACATCTGATATCATCTGATGGTTGACATCGCCCAACTCACCCAGCTTTTTTTCAGGAGTATGAAGGTGCCGCCGCCTCCCCGGAGATGCACTTGTTTGCCACCGTCCTGGCCAAGGTCGGAAGCCGCCCCGGAACTCCGGAAAAAAACACATTCATATATATATATGTATAAGTATATATATATATATATACCCTCTGGTTATTTAACATAGCCATGGAAAATGGCCCATTTATAGATGGTTTACCTATTAAAAATGGTGATTTTCCATGGCTAGGTTAAATAACCAGATGGTATACACATATATATATATATATACATTACATCCATTTATAGATGGAGGCACCATCAAAGATGGGAGAGTACTCTGAGACACCAACAACAAATTATGATTCATTCAGCCAAGAAGAAGCTGTTTTTTTCCATCAATAGAAATGGATATTGTATGATACTGTATCAAGAGTAACAAGAAATGCGCTGTTTTCACCAAATGGGATATGCAGCATGGGTAGTCACCAACAGAAACGGGCTATAAGGACTAGGCAACATCCACTAGGCACTAGCAACACACATTTGGCATGCAAGCGATGATATTTAT